TGCTGATGCTGTTGCTGTTGCTCTTGCTGCTGCTACTGCTGCTAGTGCTACTGCTGCTGCTGTTGCTGTTGTTGCTGCTGCTGTTGTTGCTGTTGCTGCTGTTGCTTATGTTGCTGCTGCTGTTGTTGCTGTTGCTGCTGCTGCTGTTGCTGTTGCTGCTACTGCTGCTGTGGTGGCTGCTGTTGCTGTTGTTGTTATTGCTGCTGGTGTTGCTACTGCTGTTGCTGCTGCTGTTGCTGCTGTTCTTATGTTGCTGCTGCTGCTGCTGTTGCTGTTGCTGTTGCTGTTGCTGCTGCTGCTGCTGCTGTTGCTGTTGCTGTTGCTGCTGCTGTTGCTGTTGCTGTTGCTGTTGCTGCTGCTGCTGCTGCTGTTGCTGTTGCTGCTGCTGCTGTTGCTGTTGTTGTTATTGCTGCTGGTGTTGCTACTGCTGTTGCTGTTGCTGTTGCTCTTGCTGCTGCTACTGCTGCTAGTGCTACTGCTGCTGCTGCTGCTGCTGCTGTTGCTGCTGCTGTTGCTGCTGCTGTTGCTGTTGCTGCTGCTGCTGCTGCTGCTGCTGCTGCTGCTGTTGCTGTTGCTGTTGCTGCTGCTGCTGCTGTTGCTGTTGTTGCTGTTTCTGCTGCTGCTGCCACTGCTGTTGCTGCTCCTGATTTTGCTCTCGAAGCGGATGCGATTGAGGCGCTGACAGCGCATAATTAGCACATAGAGAGGGGGCGGGTTTGGCTAAATAGCTAAATAGTTGGCTCTGTAATCGGTTTGAGCCTGAAACTTGGGAAGGCAGGAGGCAATAATCAGTAGCAAATGCCGGAAGGGGCTGACAAACACTCCTACTAATTGAGCGATCAGCGGGAGATGATGCGGCGGAATCAATGCAAGAAAATGGACACAGGACACACACTCACACACACAGCAAGGAGCCTGACTAATGGTCGCTTGATAAGGACACACACACACACACATGAGAGGAAATGCTTTTGGGGATATTCAATTACAAGCCTTCCTAATTAACGTTCTGCTCCGCGGTTGTATGGCCCTCGCCCAGTCACTTAATGAGATTTTCCACCAAATGAGCTTACATTACCCCAACCCCAACCCCCTACACTACACCCGTATCGAATTGAATGTAGTTAATTGAATTTAGATGCGATTTATGTCTGCAAAATGCAATTTTCCCCGCATTAATGGTCCTAATTTTTGAAAGGCATCTCTTGGCGTAACATCATCAGCAAGTCTCATTTATCATTATTAATGCCGACTGATTTTCGTGGAAATTTCGGGGAAAAAGAAGGCGAAACCAGACCCTCCTCCACTGCTCCATTTCCCTGGCACATGTAATTTAACTCATTAGCCAAGCCAAACAAGCAAACAGCGCGGGGATTTCAGAATTCGGTTTCCGGTCTCTGGTCTCTGGTCCCTGGTCTCCTATCTCCTCTCTTCCTGTGGCAGATGGGTCAGTGTTCAGTGTTCAGTCAAATAAATGCGAAGCGAGCAACATTTTGAAGCCTGACACCGCACAAGGCAAACATAAAGTTACCACCTCCCCTACCCGGTGGCAAATTAATTAATTTCCATTTGAATTGCAGAGCAAGCGCTAACGGGGGGGGGGAAAACGAATACTGCTGAACCGAAATTGAAACGAAACCAAAACAGCAACAAAAACAACAACGAAAAAATCACCAACCAGGCAACAAATTGGGAAAAAATGATATAAATAAATATAAACATGAGAGGGAGTGGTAAAAAAAAAGCGCAGTTTCAGTTCACTATACAAAAGGACAATAAAGCGCTTTTAATTAATTTCCTTTCGCGGCCAGCGTCAAGGTGAAGCCAAACAAACGGCGAAAAAAAGAATGCAAACGGGGAAAACGTTGGAAAATTCCAAAAAGAAAAAGAAAAAGAAAAAAAGGGGTGCTGCTCTTCTGGAGTGCGAAAAAGTGTTGCCGTGCGTGATTTATGTTCCGCAAAACGAAACGGGGGCAAAAAGGAACAAGCGGAATGGAACGCTGTCAAGTGTGACCAAGTGAGTGCAAAAAATGCATGCAAATAGCCAAATTTGTCCTGCAGGCTTGACATTAATGGAGGCAGAGAGTCAGCAGCAGGAGAAGCTGGAGTACAGTCCCCACATCCTTTTTGATGTGTTTGGAGGACGTGGACGCGGAAGCCTTCGTTAGTGGTGTTTATATATATTAATATATTTATATATATTTTTAAACTTTTTGGGGTTTTTATAGGGACTTCTTTGGGGACTTTGTTGTGAAGGTCGCAGGCAGGTCGGGAAATTGCATTAAGCTGAAGTACTGAAACCTTTTTGTTCCACTTATTTTTCGTAAACCTAAGTACAAATTTCAACAAATTTCAAATAACTTTTAAGTTTCAAGGAAATTTCTTGGAAATTTGTACAAAATTAACCCACAAATTCCTTGTCAGAGATGCCATACACACTCCTCACATTACGTATACGCCGCGTTACGCATATGCCTACATTACGTATACGACATGTGTTCGCAGGGAACTCGATGGCAAAGGCAAAGTCATCTTAAAGCCACATCGAGCATTGGACATGAAGCACAACCAATTCACTGGCTGTGGGCACTTTAGCTTAATTACGATTTTATTGGATTTCATACGCGGCATTCGCCGGCGGCGTCACGAACGGGGGCAGAAACATCAAAAACATTGCCGCCGTCGACATAAATTAAGCATAATAAATAAATTACCATAATTATAAAATGTGTGAGAGCCTGTGAAAATTACATAAATATCACAGAGCAAAAAAAAAAAGAGAAGGAGAAAGAGAAACCAAAACCAAAAAACCAAATGAAATGAAACGAAACGAAACGAGAAAACAAAATGCAAATGAAAAACCAATACAATATTTGTCATTTACATACATCAGGGGCACATGCGAGTGTGTGTGTTATTTCGATTTATGTTGTGGCAACAGCAACTGCAGGCGACAGCCAAGGACCTGCATCAGCAGCAGTCAGGAGTCAGCAGTCAGGAGTCAGGAGTCAGGGTGAAATTTGCATGTCAGAATCAAATGCGACAGTTTTGACAGCTTGCCGGGCTCATTATTTGCATACAGATGATCGTAATGATGCTGGGCGATGAGTGTTGGGCAAAAGGACGAAGGAGTCTGTAGATGCCAGGACCTCCATTTGACCCGCAACTGAAATCTGGCCTTAAACCAAATCCCTTAACTGAGTTTTTGCTCCACAAATCAACATTGAACTCTGGTTTTGAAGCTAATTTTTTGGGTTGCTTAATAAATCAGGGGAGGAGTTAATTTGATCATCAATTTGAAGGGGTTTCCTATAATTTAGTTGTAAGGAAACTCTGTAAAAAGAACCATATTAAAGATTTGATCTCACTTTCCTAAGGATTTTAACAACTAAATCCTTAAACTGAAAGATTTCTAAAATTTACTTTATAAAATCAAAGGATAGCAAAGGATTCTTTGATAGTTTTTTAGAATTTACTTTGAAAGCACTTAAAAAACTCTATAAAATCTTATTAAATATTATTAACTTGCTAATAAACTTCCCTTTAAATCCAAAAATATCTTGAAAACCTTGAGATTAATGACATAATTTGTCGTAACCTTCAATACTCTCCTGCTTCTCTTGCTATACCCATATTCTAGACCCAAATTTGTGTCATAATTCAATAACCTATAGCTAAAAAAGAATCATTATAATCCACACTCTCTCCCGACATCAAAGGGACATCATCTTTCCTGTGAGTCCTCTGTAATTTCATTACAAATCAATGACTGCAGAGACTAATTCCCCTTACCCGAACCTCCATTTGCGGCATGTTGCATCGATTAATAACACGAGAATATTGATGTTCTTTAAATTTGAAATAAGGTCGAACTGCTATATATATATATATATATATATATGCCAGCAATCGGATTTATTTAAGCTGCACACACACAGCTGTTCCGATGTTGTTGTTGTTGGCTGTGATCTGATTTCATTTACCCGGCGATGCCACATGTCATTTTCCAGGGGGGAGGGGTCGGAAAAACTGCGAGTGGGGGGCCAAGGCAATGTGTCAATATTTATGAACTATTATTGAACATTTGATGGGGCTGATGACGATGTCGATGATGATGATGATGATGATGATGATGATGAAAATGGGAACGGGAGCCAGGAAGAGCGCTTACATTAGCCCGCGTTCAGGCAAAAGAAAAATTTAATTAAAAAGTAAAAGGGAAGAGGGATGAGGGAAGAGGGAACAGGAAGTGGGGCAGGAAGGGAGGACTGTGGCAGGACTATGGAATGCCAATTTATGACAGCGACGACAAGGAGGCATGGGGCATGGGGCATGCGGCATGCGGCACACACATGGTGTGTGTGTGTGTGCTCCCGGAGCAGAGGTCCCGCAGAAAATGCAAAAAGCGAAAATTAATGGAAATTAATTAAGTGTCGTTTAATGTTGTCTCAATGTAAACGCTTTCAACGCAGCGCAAATTAAATTGTTGATGCCATATAGCAGGACCACTCAGGACCACTCTTGGATCCTTTTCCCTTCACATCCCGCATCCTTGGTGGGTGCTTTTGATTTATTGGTTTTTCTTCTGACGCTTTTCCGGGGGGTTTTTCTTTTTACTGTTGCTGGTGCTGCATTCTGGAGGCTCGGTTGAGCGTTAGCCTGGCCATAAAATTACATTTCTCCCCCTCGGCCCTATCCTCTCCCCCCCGGGCACCCACAAACAGCTCGCTTTTCCCCCGCTTTCCCCCATTTTGACCACATGGCGTATGCGCAATCTTAACCAGGCAACTTTTCCATATGCAAAGTGCAATGGAAATTGCAATTTTTCATGCGGCTTCCCGTTTGGCTTTTGCCTTCCATCAATTCAATTCAATTCAATCAAATGCGAAAGGCAGAGGGAGCGAAAAGGTAGCTAGATAGATAGATCTGTATCTGGGATTTGGGATCGGTTATACATATCGAGGGGTGATGGGGGAGTCAGTCACTTTGCACACACTTACCTTCTTGCAGTAATCAAGCAAATCCATTTTATCACGCAAACATGTGGCGCCGGTTGTCTTCTTGCTGAGGTCCGTCACCCAGCGTCCCTCCTCGGACAGATATTGCGGCTGATAGATTTGACCGGCCTCGCAGAGCACGGCTATCTGGGGCTCCCATCGCGGTGAGGCGGCCTGGAAAAGTCGGGAAAAACAACGGAGAAAATTATAGAAAATGAGTCAGGGAATTGTGATTGAATATCAGAGAAAGTATCTACAATAGATCTTGACTAGAGAGCAAGGTAAAGTTCCATGTTAACCCTGCTTAATATTATTATTTTATATGAAAGCAAGGTAAAGTTCTATATTAACCCTGCTTAGTATTATTATTATTATATTTTAGGTAGAATAAATAATCCTTTAATCTCTATGAGAAACCCTCTTTAAATATCAGTAAACTCTTTCTTCAGTTCTTTTTCCAATTAGTTAAGAAAAAGTTTATGAAATTCAGAGAAAGTCTCTACAATGGATCTTGCCCAGAAAGCAAGATAAAGTTCTATATTAACCCTGCTTAATATTATTATATTATATAAGGTAGAGTAAATAATCTTTTAAAGTTAATGAAAAACCCTCTTTAAATATCAGTAATCTCTTTCTTGAATTCTTTTTCTAATTAGTTAAGAAAAAGTTATTGAAGATCAGAGAAAATATCAAGAATTGATCTTGCCTACAGAGCGAGGTAAAGTTCTGCTTAATATTATTATTATTATATTTAAGGTAGAGTAAATAATTCCTTAAAGTTTTTGAAGAACCCTATTTAAAGAGGGAATCATTAAACTCTTTCTTGAATTCTCTTTTCTAGAATTTCTAGATAGATTTCTAGCTCCTGTTTTGTTACAATTTAGTTTCATGAGCAATTCCCTAATTGTTGCTAATAATTTATTTAGCTTTCGTTTAGTCCATTTCTCTACTATAAAGCCTAAGAAGTTGTCACTGTCAGTGGCGAGAATCAAGCGAGATTTTGTATTTCGAGAATTTGCAATTCTGTGCAGGGTCAACAGTGCGTATGCGTAATGTTTGATATGTGTGAGATGTGTGTGTGATATGTACATGTGCTGTGGTCCTGGACACTAGCTTTGGTATTTGTGTGTGTCTGTGTATATACACCAGAATATTTCAATGTATGTGTGTGTGTGTGGGAGAGGCATCAACAAAGCCATAGACAAGACAGCCGCAACAGCAGACAAAGACATGGCAGGGCACATTAATCATACGCCACATTGTACAGGCACAACCCACAGGACGTCTGTGTGTGTGTGTGTGTGGTGGGGGCGTGACAAAGCGATAAAAAATGATGGCCTGCTAGGGAAACCTGCTCCATCGATGAGAGACAAGTACTCCTTCCTATACCTTAGATGTGTTCTGTGCTAAGAACAATTAATGGCCATCATTAGACGAAAGGCGTGGCCCGAGTTGAGTCCTGTGATTGCAATGGCGATTGCTTAAATGCTTCATTACCAGCTGACGACGAGGACGAGGACGAGGACGAAGACCTGAACTGATGACTGACTGCCCAAGGCGATGATGAATGTCTGGCCAAATTATGCATAACGATTTGAATTGATACATTGATTGATTGACGACCAAAGAAGGATAAATGCAGGCAGAGAAATTCAAGGACTTCTCTTAATATTGAAGGATATAATAATATGTAGGGAACTCTCATTCTTGCTTTTTTAACAGTGCAGAGAAAACACTTGTCATGGGCTAAGTGATAAACCATCAAAGGGATAATCACCGGAGACAATCGGTAGAATCAGTGAAGAGAAAATGAATGGGGTGTACATAGTAAGGCTGTGGAAATGTTGGTGGAAATGCCAGCTGACATCTGGATTTTGCAGTTGAATTGAGAGACAATGCCAACTCTGATTGCAATCAAAGCGAGTCAGAGATTTTCACTCGCTCACTCACTTACTCTCTCTGCAATTATGGCCAGTAACAATGGCAAATCTCCTGCCTTACCGTCCGATCCGCGCTTTACTTTCTTCCTTTTGCTTCTGGCTAAAATCCAATGGCTTAAGTCCCCGGGTTTTGTTTCAATTTTTCTTTTTTCTTTTTTTTTTTGCCCCAGCACAATCAAAGTGGAGCAGGCTTTTCCATACCGGGGATTTTCACATTTTCCCCTTTGTTTGCTGCATTTCCATTATGCTGTTGTGCTGCTGCAGCAGGCGCGATTCGTGGAATCCGGAGAATGCACTCATTGATTCATGAACTCGAGAGGGGAGACGGGGAGGGGAGACTTTTCCCGGAAAATGATCCCTGCAAAGAGTGGGGAAATTGGTTTGGGACTTAATCGAGAAGGCCAACAGGCAGCAGGCAGCTGGTTGAAATTATATCGAAGAATGTTTCAAGGCTGCACTTGAGAGCTTTCCCAATTAATTGAAAGACTCACACTTAAGTGCATTTCCCCAAAGACCAGGCAGGTGCTTCAATAACAAATGTGGTAAAGTGATTAAATGGGGAAATGCATTCGCTGTAATGATAATTATAATGATGCCCTAATGCATTCACAATTATTGATCGGTATTACTTGTAAAACTTCATTAAATGCGACTTCCGGTTGAAATATGCATTGGCCCCAGAGTCCACTCTGTGTGCGTTCAACTATTTCAAAAGTAATTAAGTTGGCAAAAAGGCGCCGGCTCAGCTTTTGTTTGTCAGTTTGTCAGCAGCTGCCTTGTGACATGAAAGGGGGAAGGGCAGGAAAAGAGGAAAAATCAAGGAAAATAGGGCTGAAAAACATGGAGCGACAGAGGGGCGGGGTCAGCAATTTTTCCAGGCAATCTAATAATTCAACCAAAAACAACACATACAGTCTTTGCTTGGGCAATGCCCCCCAGTACACACGCGTGTGTGTGTGTGTGTTGTGTATACACACTATGTGTGTGTGTGTGAGTGTGAGTGTGTGTTTGTTTATGCAGATTTTGTTTGCACTTGTTGTTGCCACCGCTGCTGCTGCTGCTGCTGCTGTTTACACTAACACCAACAATGGCATATGCCAAACAACGGGTCAGAGGCAGCGCCGCCAGGAGTCAGGGGGGGCGTGGCAGAAAAGCAGGACTTTTCCAAAGGGGTTGGGGGCAGGGCAATAATAATGTCGCTAGCCATGGCAACGCAAAATGTGCAAACAGAAACACACACAGACAAAGACACAATTTTGTAATAACGTTGAGCCAAGGGAGGAGAAAGAAGGAAGCGCCATATGGAGTGCATGTCCTGCGACAATTATGCAGAATATATCAGCTTTTCACCAGAGCCAAAAAAATAATAATGAGGAGAGACAGGAGTGCAAAAAAGGAAGAGGAGTTTAAAGGACTCAAGGAAAGGAAATGCAAAAGGTGTAAACAGGAGTGAAGAGAATGAAACAGGAGTGAGCAGAAGGATACAGGAAGAACAGAAGAGAAATTATCCTGACAACTATCAATTTCCCTTTACAAAAAGCAACTCAAAACCAATCCCTGTCAAGAACTGAACTTCAAATCCTTTCCCGCAAAGGGAACACATCTCTCCATCCACAAAATCTAAAATTTCGATTAGCTGACCAATATGCCTGGTGGTGTTTATCTCATGATTTTCCAAGGGAAATTGCTGTGACACCGCAGCCATAATGATGCACAGAGCAACCAAATCGAAATGGTAAAAACGAGGACTACACGAGCAGCGAAAGCCAAAGGAGCCGCCAAACTGACAGGCGACAAAAGGAAATTGCAGCACTGCCAGGCGGCAATCTGTCAGGCGGCCAAAGGATGCAAGGATGAATCCGAAGAGTGTTAACTGGGTAGGTGTTTGCCAGCGGAAGGGGTCTGTCAACGTGGATGGGATAGGGTAGGGTAGGGTAGGGTAGGGTAGGATACTGTAGGGGGAGTGATGGTCGAGTGCAGCCACGCCCATCGCCACCCAACGGCCAAATCCGTTTCAGCTTCCGTCTGCCGCTGTCGCGTTGCTTCCTCTTCGTGAAAGGCAATCATGGCCGTGTTTCCCCTTCAATCCCGCTCTTAACCCCCAATGCACAGAGAGGAAAATTATAGCCAAAAGGAAGAAGGATATATAACATATCTAATTTTTTAAGGAAAAACTAAGCTTTAGGGAAAATTACCTACAAAAATAAAGAAATTTCAGTAAAACCAGCACTAAAACAAGAAAGGAAGCAACTTCGGCGCGCCGAAGTTTATATACCCTTGCAAATAGAACTTCGACTAGGTCCATACAATATAAATTAAATATATTTGTGTTAAAAAACAATGAAGTAATACCTGCTTTCATTTCATTCACCTATACATATTATATTTGCAATTTTACATTTACAAATTTGCATTTTTGCTCCACATCTAACGATCGTTTGTATGTAATATAGTCATCCGATTTTCATAAAATTGTACACAAAATTTAAGACTAATATAAACTGCGTTGCAAACTTCTGACTGAAATTATTATGCCCTGCAAAGGTATAATGAAGCTAAAACTAGAACCGATTGCAAATTTTGTTCAGGTGCAGGTCTTTACAGGACTCTTGGCAACCGCCAGGACCTCTGGCGAACACAGGACACACGCCCCTTTGCATCCGCAGTGTTTGCTGAACAAGCTGAAAGGGCGACAAATTGTAATCAAATGCACGCATGAGTGTGTATGAGTGTGTGTGTGTATAAGGGGCGTGGCACCGTGTGTTGTGCCAGGTTTTCGCTTGTTTCCACGGCCAAAGAGAGCGGAAAAACACGCTTAATCGACAGAGAAGGCGGGCAACTGTTTGGGGAAAATAGTGGAAAGCCATTGATTAACTTGCCGGGTCAGGCTCTCTCTCTCAGCTCATAAAGTTGCCAAGTAATTGGAGTTTCGATGAGAACGGAAATAGCAAGGGAAAATCAGGAAAAGCAAAGGAAAAACTATAGGAAAATGTGATTACAGGCAGATGAGTAGTCACTTACATGGCAAAAGATATAGTTATCTCTGAACAGAAATCAAACATCAGGCTTAGTCAATACAAATTAAGCCTGAAAAGGTCCTTTGGCTTAGGAAGCTATATAACAAAGAGAAAACTAAGAGAAAAACATGCCTTTTCACCCTTAGTTTTTAGTAAAAATAAAGTTTAAAGTTGGATAATCAAATCACAGAGAGGAAAATCCCTGGAAATCCAACTA